GTGTTAGTTAGCACAAAGGCGGCAATCAATAAATCTCTATAAATTTTTTTTTTGCTTTTTATTCTTAATTTTGTTGTTTTTTGTCATCATCATCGTCTTCAGCACTTTTATCATTATGATCAGCATCATCGTCGTTTCTCATCATTGTCATCATCACCATCGTATTCGTTATTATTTTTATTAGCAAACGGGGCTTTTGTTTTCTCACACTCTTCTCTTCTTTTCTTTTTTTTTTTTTTTGCATTTACTTACATATACATATGCATGTACTTAAGTCAGACTCCACTAACTTTTTCAGAGCTCTTCATATAAAATACTTGAGTCTAATGTGCTGTGTGGTGCTATTGTTATTGTTGTTGTTGTTATATGTGTACTTGGCGTTATACATGAAGTTTTTTTTTTTTTTTATTGCACGGACAAGTATGTATGTTTCTAGATGTGTGCGTATACCTAAAAAGAAGGAGTTGAATTTATGTAAATGTATGACATGTGCTTGGGGTGTGAGTATTAAAAAGGGGTTCCTTCTGCTGCGGGGCAAGCAGAGAAGAAACGAAAAAAAAGAGGAAAAATTGAAATAAAAAAAAAAAAAAAATTTAACTTTTTAGCGGTAGCACACAAGCAAATTTACACTCACTTACCACATGCAAATACCGCAATTTCTAACTCTCTCTCTCTTTCTCTCTTTCTCTCTCTCCCTCTCCCTCTCCCTTCGTTCCATTATTATTTGTTTTGTTTTGTTTTTTTTTGCTCTCTCTTTCTCTCCTATAAAAACTCTTTAAAGCTTATTCACTCTCTTGCATTGCAATGATTACACGATTACTCATTCACCCATATTTCCACGAATTAATGTACGACAGCGTGTTTGCACGAGTGTGTTTTCTGTCATCGCCACGTCCTTACTCCCACCCACAATGAATTTAGCTGCAAGTTTTAACGCGTGCACTATGCACTTTTCTTGTTGTTGTTGTTGTTATTGTTTTTTTTTTTTTTTTGAAAAAGGAAAAACTTATGATTTCTTTATGTTAAAGCGCGCATTTGTATGTATGTACATGGGTGTGTGTATGTGTGTGTCTGTATGTGTGCATGTGTATGCGAATGTGTGGGTTATAAACAAAGCAAAGCAAAACCCGCTAAACGAACGAACGACCACCCATCCTACCCTTCCAGCTTTTTTTTTTTTTTTGGTTTTTTATTCCTTTGCATTTTATTTTCAGGTCTTTATCTTTATGGCACTTTAGATTAACCCATGCTGACATAAGCACTGAACTGCAATATTAATTTATAGAAAAACAACACACAACACAATAAAACCAACAACACCATTAAGCTTTGCAAGTAAAAACGAATGCACAAACAAACATACGTATATACATAAATATGGGATATTTGTAAAACAAAATATTTTATTTTTTCTTCTGTCCATTGTGTACATAGTAGAGAAGCGTGCGGTCTTTTTTGAAAAGCCGACACCGGTTCAACAACACTATTGCACACTATTAATCTTTTCCGCAACTGTGTTCGTGTGCATGTATGAGTTACTCTACTATCATAAACTTTAAATTTTATACTTAACTATACACACAGGCGCATACAAATGCATACACATACATGTTCATATACATACATACATGCATACATACACATATCTAAACATACATAAATGCATACACATGCAAATGCATACACATATACATGCATTATTTGAATATATATATATATATATATATATATGTATATATGAATGTGTTGCGAGTACATATCTCCACTTTACTCTAGTTTTAAAACCTAGTAACCAACAACTCAACTATTCATCCATTTATCCACCCACCCATCTAATCAACCACAAATTGTACCGTTTCATGCTGCACTTTTTTTTTTTTTTTATTTTTTTTTCCATTTTTTTATGTTTTCTTCCTTTTTTTTTTTTTTTTTTTGCTCTATTGCATATATGTGTTGAGTTTCCTTACATTATTCTAGTTTATGTTGTTAGTTATTTGTTAATTTTCAGCAAAAATTGCTCTTTTTTGTTAGCAAATGTTTTCATCACTTTAATAATTCTGCGAAAACCTGTTCAGCTTTCTTTTTTTTAAAAGCATTGGAAAAAAGGATTTTGCACTAATTTCACTAACACTATTAGGCATACAGACAGAGTAATGGTTCGTGTGGTTGTGTTGTTGCGAGCGCGCGCGCGCGTATGTGTGTGCTAAATGAGGAAAAAAATTTATTGTGATTGGTAAGGAGGACAATGAGTTTAAAATTATAACAATTGATTTAAAAAGTATTGAGCGTAGAGAATAGATGTGAAAAAAATGTTCAAATGCTTATACTCAGGCTGTAAAGTAGCAGACCGTTAACGTCTGAAACATGAATTCGATATGTTAACACTTAATTTCTGTAAAGCTGGAGGGGTTTCCAAGGGAAACAATAAAACATAAAAATGCCACTCGCAACGAACAATCAATCATTCATAGAAAATTTCCAATGAGCTTCGCATGATTCCATTAAAAAAAAAAAAGGCGCTCATCCATCGAATTTCTATCGGCAAGTCGGTGTTAAAATCTAAGGGAAGGTTCGATTGGCACTTGATCAGGTGTCACGTGCAATTTTATCAAACAGGGCCATAAATACCCATTCCTACTATCGAAATGAACACACGTCCGGAAAATATATGCACGCACTGTACCGTATTAATGATGCCAAATAAAGCTCGCCCTTACCGAAATTGAAAAATTGGGAGCATTTGCTAAGAGATTCAGCGTAGACCTATCATTCTCAAATCATTCCGTCTTCTACTTAAGTCCATTAATAATGCTAAGTTAATCGGGGCCATGATTTCAAACAATTCTAGATCATGTTTTCCCTTATCAGAGTAAGACGCGAAAAGTTAATCTTAAAAACATTGTTCAGATTTCACTTCGTTTCTTAGTTTTTTTGTTAAGTAACTATAAAGCCCTAGGCCTAGGGTAAGTGAGTACACAATTCAGTTAGATGGCTACTCGGTGATCATTAATTCTTATCAGCAATTTTTTTCTAAGAATAATCGAACGATTTCAGACTTAGTGATAAGGCATTCCAATATCTATTAACACGAGCAATAAAAGGGAGTTCGGCTGATAAGTTAGAAAAAGAACAAGTGAGAAATAATATGAAAGGATTTCTATTCGATCTAGAGAACTGTAGTATTTCCATTAAAAGGCTTGGAGATCGAGTTTAAATGATTTTGTAGATTTCTGTAGAGGTAGATAGATAAGCAACCCAAATTTTAAATAATCGGGAAAGTAGAATTTTAAGAAAGCATAAACGGAGGAAGAGATACGGTCGCCAAGTTTGACTGTTATAGAGTTATTTTCCGATGACTGCACTAATGTATCTTCGATATTGATCTCGAAGGACTGATCTTTTTTAAACGAGCTATTACTTAAAAGCCAGAAGTTCCGTTAAAAAGACCTTATTTGAAGTTGCACGTAACAAATCTAAATGAGAGAGAGAAAGAGAGAGAGAGAAGAGCATTTTTTGGAAAAGGATCTGTACTCCGTCTCGAAAACTACAGTAACTTGAAATCGTTTTAGTTTATATAAGATTCCGACTTGATGTTGATCGAGGAAAAAAATCGAAATTGGCACTCTTTGCTCTAAGGCTCACTTGATACTAACTCATGCTGGATTATAACCAAAATTTTCGCAGCGCGATATGTCAAATATATTGCATGTTTGAGGCTATTGCGATTGAATAACGCATCCTTGTAGCTTTTATAGCGCAAATTTTAGTTTCAAAGATACACATAAATATATACATATACGTATATATATACATATGGATATACATATAACTATATATATAAATGCATTCGTTTGATATTTCACGCTGCGAAAATTTTAGTTTGAAAGACAAAACCCTAAGGGATTTGTAGATATACGCATAATCTACTAAGCTAAGACCGCGGAGGGATTTCTTTACAGTTTGTTGTTTCTTTTCCGGATCTTATTAGCGACAGCGTTTGTGTATTAAATCAATTTTAAGTGAATTATATACCGAATAATTGGCATTGCAACAAGACGATGCCAAGAGTGTTTTGTAGTGTTTGCCAATTGGCCATTGCCAATGAAATATATCCTTCATCCGTTACATTAGCCTTGAAGTATGCTTTAAAAACTATTTATGTTGCTTTCTATATGGTTTTCATATTGATTCGGTTACCTTTAACCTTTGTTTGGACTCCCACAAGTATTTTCATATTTATTCGTCCTTCTCCCTCTTTTTCTCTCTTTCTCATTCTTTCTCTTTCTTTCTTTCTCTCTTTAATTCTTTTTCTCTCTTTGCGAGTGTGACATTGATTCTCTCCTTAACGATTTAGTATATAGTATACACATGTAAAATACAATAACAATGTTACTCTTATTTATTGCAATTAGCTCTTGCGAATGCATCCTTTTTTCCCTTTAATTTCATTATGAATTTTTTTCGTTCCGTTCCGTTCCGTTCCTATCGTGAGTATTTATGCGTTTTGGTGCGGTATACAAATTATTCCTATTGACATTTGATGTGTAGCGATATTCTCGTGGGTTGTGTTGCGTTGCAGGAGGGCCGTATTGCCGCGTATTGTCATTTTTACTCGCAAACATTTTTGTAGTAAATTCATTTAAAAATCATCAACGTCAACGTAAAACCTGTAATTTTTTTTATTGATGTTTTCTTGAATGAAATTGTAATACAACCAGGACTTACTGGCTATGCGGCTATGTGTTATGTTGTTTTTTGTTGGGTGAAGGGTTGAAGGGTTAATATTTTTTTAGCTCAGTGTAGATTTTTTATGTATCGCTCCATTTGTATTGCTGGTGTACATGCAAAACTTTCATAAAATAAGCGGAAACATGGGTGTGTTGAAATTTTTTTCTTTATGCTTCTGTTTCTGTTTATTTGCAATTTTTTAATAAAAAATTTAATATTCAATAGATTTAAAGGTGATAACCATCTTTTTACTTTTTATTTATTCCTTTTAGGAACACAATTTGAGAATTTTGCTTTTAAATCATCCAACACAAATAGTTGGTTGTTGTTATTACGGCGATCATGCATCGTTCATTGAAACCGCACGCACAAGCTAAAAAGGTTACAAAAGTATCACCACCCGCTTTACCGGGTGATCCAGTGCCTACAAGTGCAACAGCTTCACAATCAATATATCATCATTCTCATCAGCATCAACATATACCATTGTATCGATTAGGCGGCAGTATCTCGGGGGCAACTGGAAAAGCGCAGCTAGAGGATGGTATCATAATGAGTAGCATGGTATCATCTCCATCGCTCGAAGAGGGCGGTTTCAATTTGCCACGTGAGCCTACTGTAGCTTTACGCATAAAAGGTAAGCCAATTGATAATTGGGCGGGAAAAATATTTTTAGATTATTATCATATATATTTTCTATGTAGATGAATTAAACGATTACGCTTCAGCCATGTCAACGTCAGGCTCTTCACAAACTTCAGCAGGTGCAGCAGCAACAGCCGCAGTAAAACCGGCACAATCTGTTACCGCCAATGCTAGTGCTTTATTAGGCACATGCTCAGCGAATATAGTGCCATGTCCCCCGCCAGTTTTTTGTGCTACATTACGTGAGCCTCTCACCCACAAGGCAGCTGTTTATTATCATCAACAATTAGCATTGCAAGAAGACCAAGGTATCGATCTGACCCAATCGCCGGGCCGCGACTCACCCGGTTCATCATCAGGTTCAGCTGGTTCTGGATCCCGTCATTCCACTGCTAGTTTAGATTCGGGTCGAGCTTCGTCATATCTCACAGGCGCATCCGGAGCTGGTTCGATACGCAGTAGTGGCGGTGGTGGCGCCCTATCTTCACCCCGTTGCAGTTCAGTTAGTTCGTGCTCAATTGGTTCCATGGACCGTCAACGTAACGAAGAGTTGATCATCGATTGGCTTATGGAAATGAAATATGAAGAATATGCTCAACTCTTCATAGCGGCTGGTTATGATTTACCCACCATAGCCCGTATGACCCCGGAGGATTTAACGGCAATTGGTATAAAAAATCCACATCATCGTGAACGTATTAAACAACGTATCGATAAACTACAAGTCTTGGATAATTTACCGCATTTTGTACCGGTAAGTTTTATGCCTCTTTAAAAAAAAAAAATAAAAAAAAAAGAAAAACAACAATAAAAACCGTAAAAAAGGATTAAGTAGCTAAAATTATGAAATACAAAAAAGTAGTAAGAAAGCCATATAGACCATAACATGAACATATAAATGTGAACGGATTTAATTGTAGACTTGTTTGCGCACGAACGGCGATTATCTTTGCATGGGATATATGCATGGGTCGGTCGTTGCTCTGCCATGCCCGTATGTAAGCTTTTTTCAGGAATATATCATATAAAGCTTCAGCGGCAGTTTGAGTGAATTTAAAATTTTGCAAACGAACAGACGGACGCAAGTCAGTGCCAATTTGTGCAGTACAAAAGGTGCACCGGAAAATAGAAAGACAAAATTGTTATATCTTCGTTCTTTGAGGCCCGATATAATAATATTCGAGAAGATATAGTTGGTAGAAGCGTAAGCCAAATCTCAGTGAAGCTAGTCAATGCAGACAAATTTTTTTTAATTCACTAAATTAATGGTAAACAATTATTTACCCAGAAAATGCTGCCGAGATACCGAAAATCCCTAAAGCTTAACCTAATAGTAATGAGGAATAACAGAGATGTGCTCTTTAAAATATCACCTTAAGCACAGTTTTCAGAGCTAAGGATATATTAGTTAAACAGCTGAACAATTAATCGCTTAATAATGGCAAAAGCAAAGTTTAAGAAATTGTTAAATAAAATTACAAAAAAAAAAAAAATAACAAAAAAGTAGCAGAAAGAGTTTACCCGTAATTGTTTTGTGAGCACAGGCTTTAATTACCGTTGTGGAAAAGGTACCTTTTTTTGCTCTTTATTGTTGCACATAGTCGCATTTTTATTCTTTAATAGCAGAACAAAAAAGTAAAACCAGAAAAATTTACACCAGTTATTTCCTGAATATAATGATAAATGTGATTCATATTCAACTCAAGTCAGTCAGGTCGCATTCAAAGCTACTTTAGCAATGTGCACATTAACAGAATGCATTGCATATTTTATAGTCAGAAAAAAAAAAAAACAAAAACAAAAAAAAAAGGAGAAGAAAAAAACTGAACGTGTTTATAAAAATTATGCCATGTTTACACTTGTCTCATATTTATTTTTTCCGCCATAAACATCATATCTTTCTTTTTTTTGATTTTTTTTCTTGAGTTCGTAAAAGCTGCAGCAGCAGTAAATAAATGTTGTTGTTGTTTGTGTTGTTGTTTGTACAAAAAAAAAAAAAAAAAAAAAAGCAAAAGATAATATAAAAACCTGACTCCGCAACCACGTCAATATTAATAATTTTTCTTTTCTTTTTTGCGCATTTGTTGACACTTTAGATTGTACTAGTTGCTAGCTAGTTATTGCTTATTTTTATGTTCTTTTTTAAATGAGTCCATTTTTCTTATTAATATTTCTATTTATATGCACTAGTGGGCAAAATTATTGTGATTTGCGAGCTCAAAGGTTAATCAACCGTATTGTACACTAATTTGGATATATTAACTTTAAGCCTTTCTCTTTCCACTCCTCTCTCTCTCTCTCTCTCTCTCTCTCTCTCTCTTATGAGAGGATGATAGAACTCGAAGAAAGGTGTGAGTCGAGGATATCCATCATATTGATTGAAAAGAATATTGTATCTGACCTATATGTGAAGTCTCGCGATCGTGTTTTCTGTACAAATAAAGAAAGTTCCATCGAAGGAAATGCAACGTTACACGTAAAATAAAGTCTTTACTTGCTTTTTCATCTGTTTGTTATTCAAATACCCCAAACCGGGCGGTTGTAATTAGAACCTTAACTTATATATATGTTGCATAACCTAAACTGGCTCACTTACCTAAACTGCAATTTGGAGAATGCACCTGCTTGCTTGCCCACCTATTTTTTATTTGAATGCCCGAAACAGGCTAGTGATAGTTGAAAACTTAACTTATACAACCTAATCTATATGTATATATATATGCGATGAGATTAATAATAATTAATATATAATCTAATGTGCATATAACCTAATATATATATAACTTGGTATTTATACACTCTTATATATAGATAGATAACATAACATTCTAGGTGATATTTGACTATTTTTTACGTGAAAAAGTCGTTTGTGGAGTAAATTAATTAAAATATTTTCCTACATCTTCTGCAACTTTTTCCCACCTGCCTGGCAACATGGCGATAGGGTGTCGCAAGAACTTAAATTGGTTTAGCAGCGATCCATTTATCGATTCACTTTAGCTATTCCTCAGCATTTCGAAACGGCGTGCCAGCCAAGCAATGCTCTACCGATCTACACAAGCGGCAATGAGAAGAAGTTAAGTCTAGTGGGCGCAGCAGAATTTCTTTACAAGTTTTGCAATGCGTCGTCGAGCGTTGTCATGGAAGATTATGACTTTGGGTCTGTCAAACGCTCTTGCTAGTCTTTTTTGCAAAAATACATCGTCCAATTTGTTCTACTACATGTGCAGTGACAGTGTTATTCGATTTTAGCAGATCGTAATGCAATGCAACTTTACTGATTCCAACATATGCACAGCATGCCTTTATGATCTCGAATATGCTGCTTTGGTGTTGATGAAGATGGCTCTTTTCAACTAATCCATGATCTTTTGCGCTTGGGATTGTCGCAATCGATCCACTTATTAGCGTTAGTCACAATTCGCCAAAGAAAACACTTCTTTCTTTCCCTGGCAAGCAGTCGAACCTTGATATTCAAACTTTTCGAATGGCATTGCTTTATCATTTTCGCTAATAGATGTCGCTGGTCAAGATACATGCTTATATAACTACTTAACAAAAAGCCTAATCCAACTAATTGCAAATAGAAAGAAATACCATTTTTCTACTTCAGTATACATATATTTAACGATGAGAAGATTCTAATATAATTTAACCGCTAGTTGGTTGTCATTTGAAAGTAAAAATTGAGTACCTTTAGTTACTTACAGCATAATGGCCCGCTTATAAACGCACATCTGCAACAACCAACGCATTGTCCAATTGACACGGACCATCCTAATAAAAAATTAATTTGCAGCTATTATCCATTTACTGGGAATACTTATAACTCGGCACCAGCAATCATAATTTTCCTAATTTTTATTTTATTTTTAAACGCAGAAAGCATGACAGTGGGCAGATAGACTCAGAATTTTTTAAGAATTCTAATCTCTAAACTCACTTTCTGAATGATGTGACGCATGCATGAAAACTTGGATATCTTAATATTTTTTCTTTTAATTGCAGTCAAAATTTCTTCTTTTTTTATTATTTTTTTTGAGTTGAAGGAAGATAGAAATGCAATCTGAGATCTTTTTCATTTCCTATTAAGATTTCTCGTTTCTTGCTCAAGATTTCGTATTATTTACATTACTGTGCGTTCATAACCGACATTCAAGTAAGGATTACTTTTATCATCAGCTTAAAATCTGATGGAATTTGACATACGGCTGATCCGTGGTCGTTGTTTATGGAAAATTACTTTACTTACTTTATGTGCTGTATAAAGTCTTTGGAACACTTTGATTGTTCAAAATGGCTACAAATTATTTGCCTCGTAGCTATTGCATTGTATTATAATCTCTTAAGCTATTTGCTTATATTTATTTACTTATACTCGCTCATACACACGCGCACACAAATAGATCGTATTATATAATGAACAAAGTATTTATAATACTTGTAGCATGAGATAAGACTTTAAAAATATTTTAAAAATTAATAGAAAATTTTTTCAACTCATCCCCATCACTTGTCGTCTATGTAGAGAGAGATAGATAGTGAGAGAGAGAGTGAGAGAGAGAGAGAGAAAGAGAGACAGAGAGAGGGCAGAGAGAGAGAGAGAGAAAATTAACGTAAATAAAGTATTAAGTAATAATCTTCTGCATCTTTCCACATGAATTGAACAATCATTTCGTAGTTAATTTAAAAGCAATTTTTCAATACTTACGACTATGACTATAAATATTCGCGCGTTCACTATGTAAATATTCAACAATAACAAGGAAAGTTTGAAGACCTTGTAAATAAATTATAATTGAAATCAATGTTGATCGTGATTATCGTCATTATCATCATGATCATTATCATCATTATCATTAAGCATGATCGCGTTTATCATATCAGGATTTCGAAATAAAGGAAGAAAGAGTCAATCGTTTGAGTTTATTTGGGTCAAACTTTTAATAACACTAATGGAATTTTGTTTTGATTGCTCTTTAACTGTCTGTTGTCTAGCCTGATCTGAAATCTGTAGCAATATATTAATTGAAATTAATAAAATTGTTCTTAATTGCTAAAAAAAGAAGCCTTGCTTGATTGAAACTGTTCGTATGCTTTAAAACGAACAACCCTGAACTACTTAAGGTAGTAGTAAGTAAATGTGTGCAAATGTACTAATGAATTGAAAATGAGATCAGATATAAGAAAAATAAAAAATAAAAACGGACAACTATCAAATTTTTAAAAACAAAACAAACAATCAACCTGTGACGACCGTCCACCGTCCACCGCCCATTATCTTAAATGACATAAAATCCCAATTCACATCGAATCCGCTGCTGCCATTGGTAAACCGAAAATCCATGCATAAGTATTATTATAGTTAATGAAAATCTGATAATACACATTAAACCAATAAATGCATATAATAAAGCCTTGTAATGCTATAATTTGTAAAACCGAACATAAATTGCTACAAAAATGTCAGAAATAATTTTCAAAATGACTTTTAAATGTTCAAACATTTATCTCTAGATTTAATTAAATTGTGGTTAAGCTGCTGAATAGCGAAAAAAAAAAAACACGAAATCAAAAGAACTGTTGATGGTTTGATGTATACGTATACATATATCTATGTTTATGCGCATATAATTAGGCACAGGTAGTGGTTCGTTGGTATGGTATGGTATGTGATCTCAGACATAACATAAGCACATACACCAAAGTTTATAAGTGAATTTTTTTTATTTATTTATTTATTTTTTTTGCTTATTTTTTATATAACTAACAAACAAAACGTTACCTTATGATTAGTAGCAGCTTTGAAATGTGAAATGTGTTGAATGCTGTATGTGTCTGTGTGTGGCTGTGTGTGTGTGTGTGTGTTATTTCTGAAGGAACCGGTTTTCTGGGTTGTCTTACAAAAAAAAAAAAAAAAAAAAAATCGCGTCAAGGTCGCCTTTTTTATGTCATAAGTATTTTGTTATTATTTGTAAACTTTATAGAATTTTTTTTTTTTCATTTTTTTCTTCTTTCAATTGCTTGACAAAACATATTTTCATTTTGTATAGAAAAGCAAATTCAATGCTATTTGCATGATAAGTAAATAGTAAAGGTCTTCATAAATGTATAAGAAATAGTCTTCATATATATGGTTAGAGTGCTTAATTTCATTAAAACTATTAGTTCGCGTTATTATAACAGTGTGTACAGATGGGTGCAAAACAGAAGTAAAATAGATTCATAATCGCCTCACCTCGACAAACGAACCTTGAACATTTATTATCACATGCATGAAAATCGCCTGCATTGCCAATAAAACTTAAAACTAATGATCGCTTTTACAGCAGTGTGTGCGGATGCAAAATATATTCCTTTTAAAAATTCCCACCCGCAAGAGTATCACACATGTCGAGTTTATAATTTTGATATATCGATAGAAATAGTTTCAAATTTCCGGATTTTTCGGTAGTTTCGCTAGTTCAGTTATTGCGAGTACGTATTAGTTCAGTCCATTTCCATAAGAGAGGTTGTAAGTAGCACCGTAGGGTATGGGCAAAAACTGTGACTTCTTCATTTGGAACTACTCTCTTTAAGCGATCTTCTTCTTCTTCATCGTCACCACGGCCTTCAGCTGTTTATCTCCAAGACAAATTTTTAACGCAACGTATACTGTTACCGTTAAGACTTTTGGGATATCTATTAATTTATCATACTTTAGTTTGTAACACGCTTTCTGATAATCTATGAAGCAAATCTCTCAGTTGTGGATTAGAACCCGATGGCTTTCCGGAAACCTAGTTGGCCAAGTATGGCCAAGCGATACGCAACTGTAAAGTTTATCACACTATAGCGGGTGCAACATCGTTTCTTGAAGCGTTGAACAGATATAGTTTTTAGCCGAAAAAAAAAAAACTATGAAGTTAGTGGGAGACTTTACCTTTTCTAATTAATTTGAAGGATAGCGCAGTTAAAGGCCGAAACTTCACAGAGATATAGCAAGTCATATAACATCTTTTTCTTTGTTTTGTCACGAAATTGATACGGAACAGTGTCGTTTCGACTATTGATACGGAATAGCAAATCTAATAGGAGTTCATAAAAACAATGACAAAAAAGTCAGGGCTTGGTGTATTAAAATTTATTTCTACGAAGTGAAACCATCCCCAAGGAATACTACGTACCAAAATTGATGCAAATGCACCATGGATACCGTATACCAAAAGAGACGATGTCGTGAGTTTTTAGTATGAAGGAATTCGATTCCATATAGCGAAACTCGTTCAGGAAATGGAATGTCCTATCTTCCGCGCTGTTATCAGCAAATATTACTCCTACCGATTAACAGAGGCTTCAATAAATGAATTATTTCTTGGTTGAACGATAGGCAAAAATGGTTCTTTTAGGGATGGCTTCACAAGACGAGATATTTTGAATTCAAACGCTGCCTGGATGGTGGGAAAAAGGCATTGATGGTGAGAATCAAGTGGTGGAAGAGAGAGAGAGAAAGAGAGAGAGAAAGAGATGTGAAACCACAGTCTAGTGGACACGCGCCTAATCGGTAAGAGTTATGCTTTTACCTCCTCACTAAAGCCACTACCAAAAATGCTGATATACCGGCGTCCCTCGCATAACATGGTTAATACGTATCACACTCTTTTTACTTTCCCATTTCAGCTAACATACCGCATAAAACGACATGCTTTAAACTTAGATATAACATAAATCAGAGAAAAGTGTACAGTACTGTAAGAGAACCTTATACTGTGTTAATAGAAACCTTGAAATAAGGCAAGTCAAAGCAATTTGCACCGTATTGTATCAAAACCACTTCTGGAAATTTGAAATTTTTCTGACGGAAATTGTGCTATGAAATTTTGTTGCAAATTTAGAAGAAAGCTGAGCTTTTCGCACTATTCTCCAAGTTCTTTTATTTGATACCCATATTGCTGGTATTATTGAAAGAAAATTAATCCACCAGTAATCGCGGTGTCTATCGTATTCATTTCAAAATTAATCCACTTTTAGGCAGATAATATATCTGCATTTGAGAAGTGTACAAAATAGTTTTAAGCAATCTGCCTGTTTCGCCTTATGATATAGAAGCATAAAAGCTTAAAAAAGTGAAAACAATAAAATTTAATCACTGCGAGGAGTTGCATTGAGTTTATGCTTCACTGCGGGCTTGGCCAATTTCCAATACTAGCATGAATTCAAAAGCTTCCAATGTTTTTGCCAAATTTGAAGTCGATATCTTTGTTTTTACGACTAGGAGAGTGACAACAAAAAACTCCATGCAGAAACATAAACGAACATGGGTCAATCAATTCAGAATCTCAAGCTGAACGAAGACATATATACTTTGCAGGGTCTTCGAAGCTTCCTTTTGGCTGTTCCATACATTATGAAAAAAAACAAACAAAATTGGTATACCCCCATCTTACAGTGGTGGGTATAATGAAAGAAAAATTCAATTCGACATTACGGTGAAATATAAAAATTGAAAATATATTAAAAAATAGTGATGACGATCACGAAATTAATCTTTATTAAAAATCGCAGCTAATCTATATTTTTTTCTCAAAGTGTATTAAAATTCTTTTTGTTGATGATAAAATAAAAACAACAATCAATTAACACTAAAGCTACCGACATTCCTTGTATACCTATTTCTACCGTGAGCGGTCAAATGACCGCGTCAAAAAAACATATTTAAAGTAGATAGTAAACAAAATATTTTTCTGATGCTACATTAAAAACTCGTTTCCCGCTTTTCGATGTTGTATGTTTTATTTACTTTTACGCATTTTCATCACATTTTTTACAAATTACAGCATTTTGTGTTGCACATTTTCCACACACGTATTTTTTACATTTTATACAAATTTTGTTTGTTTTGTTGACTTTACAATATCTGATTTGACAAGATCTCCGTTCAGAAGAAACAGTGTTTGTGTTTATTATTGTTTTTGATGAGCATTCTTGGCTTATTTCTTTTTCTTTCTGATATTCGGTCCCAAGTTCTTCTGCCAACTGAAACAAAAACTCTTGCCTCGATATATCCTCACACGTTGGCCATTTGGTCGGTTACATCTACACCGAATTTTGTACTATTATAGATTCTAATTGTCTCTGGTATAAGGGTGTCATTTTTTTCAATTTCAACGGATGAATGCATTGAACTAAGTATCAATACTTTTTTATTTGGTTTAGCTTTATAAATTGTAAGAATAAAATCTTTCGATTTGTATAATATTGTTGAGAAGCGTGTCATACTATCCTTTGCCTGTCTCGCTAATTTTGGTAGCTCTCTTTTATTTCTCCGGCTAGTTCCAACAAGGGTAGTTCTTTTTGTTAGAAGTTTACCCGCTAGTGACGGGCTTGTAAAAATATTGTCAATTGTTATATTTCTTCCATGACCAGTATATGGTTCTGCCAATTTCAGAGTTACAAACTCTCCAACTGGGGTTGATGATTCTCTCCCTTC